GAAAAAGAATTAGAAATTGAGTTAACTAAATATCAATTAATCAATACCAGTAAGGAATGGCCTTTTGAAATCAAGGATGAGGTTAATATTAATGAGGATACTAAATACCGCTACCGCTATTTGGATTTGCGTCGTCCTAGTAGTAAAAGACTTTTGCTTATTAAGGACCAATTTTGCTATGAGTTAAGAAAATTTCTCCATCAGCAAGGATTTATTGATGTTGAAACCCCAATTTTGGCCCAAAGTTCTCCCGAAGGTGCTAGTTGCTTTGTTGTTCCTTCTAGTTTAAAAAATCGCTATTATACCTTGCCTCAATCACCCCAGATTTTTAAACAGTTATTAATGGTTGGTGGCTTAGGTAAATATTACCAAATTGCTAAGTCTTTCCGGAATGAGGATGCTCGCAGCAACCGGCAAATAGAATTTTCCCAGTTAGATTTGGAGATGAGTTTTACCTCAGTTCAGGAAATTAAAAGACTTGTCGAAAAATTGCTCAAAAACACCTTAAAAAAAGTTTTTGGCTACCAAATAAAAACTCCCTTTGCTACCTTGACTTATCAACAAGTAATAAAAAAATATGGTACTGATAAGCCTGATTTGCGAAAAAACCCGAAAAATGAGAAAGAATTAAGTTTTTTGTGAATAACTGATTGACCGCTTTTTGAATACAATAAAGAAACTAAAAAGTATGAAGCAGCCCGCCATCCTTTCACTATACCACAAAAAAAATATATTAGACCTTTACTTAATAACAAAATTGAGCCAGAAAAAGTAATCTGTGAAGCCTTCGATTTAGTTTGCAATGGCGAAGAACTATTAAGCGGTAGTATTCGTATTTACCAACGAAATTTACAAGAAAAAGTTCTGGAAATATTAGGCTATAACTTAAAAAAAAGAGAAGAAAATTTTGGTTATTTCTTACAAGCACTAGAATTTGCTGCTCCCCCGCATGGTGGGATTGGTCTAGGGATTGACCGCTTATTAGCAGTAATATTAAATACTAATAATTTAAAAGAATTAATTGCTTTTCCGAAAAATATTGATGGGACCTGTTCTTTGACCGGCGCACCTAACTTGATTAAGCTGTCGAATTAGCAATTTCGAAGGACACCATAATTTCTATTAGTTTTTCGTTAATTTGGTTAACTTTACACGAGCATTTTTCTAGTTTGCGTTCATAGGTTAAAAAATATTTGTAGAAATAAATATAAAAAGCAAGAGCGATTAGACCCAAAACGGGAAAAAATATAATTATTCAATAGTTCTTATATGTTCTAATAAAGACCATAGGGAGAACAAGTAAAGGATAAAGAAAAGCACTCGAAAGATTGGTTCTTCATTGGTATTTATGGAATAAACGGTGGTAAAAATCTCGTTTTTTCTCTCAATGCTTTTTTTCAACCAAAAGGTTTTTTATGATTTCTTTTTTGTCATTCACAATTTAATTTTATTAATTATTAGCCAAAGAGTTATGTTTTTTTTACTAATTCTTTCTCTTTAAAAGGAAACCCTAACTGGCCTAAAAAATAACTATTTTCTTCGGTCGAAGAGGATTTAAAAACAATTGTAATTTGGACTCCTTGGTTTTTAAAAGTTAAATCATAAGGAACAGTCGGAAAAATATTTAAATCGTCTAACCCGAGGTTGTAATTACCTTTTTGGTCGAATTTCTTTGCGGAAAAGCCTTGAAAATTAGCAATCAAAGGAAGATTTAGATTAATTAGTTCAAAAAGAAAATCCCACGCTCTTTTTTTTCTTAATGTAACTTTACAACCAATTGGCATTCCTTCTCTCAGTTTGAAGCCAGTAATCGACTTGCGAGCATAAGTGATAACCGGTTTTTGCCCGTGAGAAATCTGAATAAGGGCTTTTTCAGTATTGTCTAATAATTGCTTATTAGTGACTGCTTGACTGACACCACTATTTAAAACAATTTTTTCAATGTCTGTAGTTTGCATAGGCGAAGTATGTTGAAACTTTTCCCCCACTGTTTTTTTTATTTCTTTTCTTTTGGTTTCTCACCAATTATTTACTATAAGCATATACTATTTTTTTTTTTTTTTTTGTAAAATTAGCAAGACAATAAGAAAAATAATGATTACTCCCGCTATTCCAAGACCAAGATAAAGTGGCAAATTAGAATTACCATTTTTGCTAGGCTGATTGTTCGAGGGAGAATTATTTTTGTTTAATTTATCTAACTCTTTTTCTTTTTCCCTTAATTTATTTTCCTTTTCTTGTAATTTATTAGGGTCTGGAGGAGTAGAGTTGCGAGGATTTTTTAAGTTGCGGATTTCTTGTTTTAAACCATTGATTTCCTGCTGTAATTGGGTAATTTTGGCCGAGTTATTATCATTTTGGTTCGGCTGCTGACTCGGACCTTGCTGACTTGGACCTTGTTGGTTTGGTCGCTGATTATCATTAGGATTAGCCGCGATTTGGTTATATAATTCTTCTTCGACTTCTTTCCCTATTTTATTTAACTCTTCTTTGCTAATGGCCTTGCTAACTTTGTCTGCGAAAAAGTTTTCTAGTTTTTTTTCTTTCTCGTTTATACTTTTCATTAGAGTTTTATTTTGGGGATTTTTTTCAAAAGCATCCTCCCCTCTACTATTAAATTCTGGATTACAAACAGAGCAAAACAAAAGTCAGTCAATATGGTCTTGTTTTCCGCCTTTTTCTACCAGAAAGTCCGAAAGGAATTTTTCAACTTTGGTGATAAGTTCTTGTTCGCTGGCAGTTAATTTTAACTGGGGTAGTAATTGGTCGAATTCAGTTTGAAATTGGGCTGGCAATTTATTACGAACCACGGCGGCTCCCTTGTATAAATATTTTTTATGTATCAGCGAGGGATGGAATGATAATACTTCATATTCTTGCGGTTCTGGTTGCCGACAGGCCGAACAAATTTTTTGTTCTTTTCTTTCCTCACAACTTTGGCATGAAGTACCTTTTTCTACTTGGTTATTACAATCAAAAAATCCGCATTTTCGTGCCATATTAATATTTATTTTTTAATCTATTAACAAACTATTTCCTTTTTTGTCCTTAAATTTTCGAGCCACTCGCACTTTTACTTTTTCAATTTTGTCATCTTTTTTCTTTTCGGTTTCTTGAAAACCAATTTTAGTAGTTTTCTTTTTATCCTCTAATCAGTAGGCGACATTAGAAATATGAATTGGGGTCATTATTTCTTTTAATTCACTCTTTTTCTTGCTGTCAGGCGTTGATTTATCGTATTTTTTTCGACTAACTTTTTTTAAAAAGACTACTTGCTCTTTTAGGTCCAAACGGGAAATGTAATCAATTGTTCCGCGGTGTTTACCAGCAATGACTTTTACTTTGTCGCCAGTTTTTAATTTAGTTTTGGAGTTTGTTGACATATTTATAAAATTTCGGGAGCCATTGAAAACAACTTCTTATATCCTCATTGGTCGAATTCGGCTAATAAAGGAACAAAAACACGAGTTCCTACTGGTTCTTTACCATCTTCTTTTACTAAAACTGCGTAATTTTTGCTGAACTTTATTCAAGTATTATTTTGACGGCGAAAATGGCTTTTAGTAGCCACAATTACCGCAATTACTATTTGGCTTTTTTTGATATTGGCGTGCGGGTCAGCCTTTTTTACTGTTGCTTTCACCAGGTCGCCAATCCGGCTATATCGGCGGTTAGAGCCACCCAAGCAACGAATTACTAATATTTTTTTGGCTCCGGAGTTATCGGCCACTGATAAAATTGATTCGTTTTGCAGCATATTATTTATTTTTCCTTTTTTTTCGACGAAGTGAGAAGACTAAAATGGCAGAAATCATTATTCCTACCGAAATTCCTCCTACTAACCAGGGATATTTATTTTTGAATGGCGAGGAAGAATTATTGGTATTGGTTGAATTATCCTCTCAACCAATTTCATTTTTATTATGCCTTTGACAATAATCTATTATGGATTGGAGTTCGGAATTATTAACTATCTGCCGAGAAGTTTTAATTTCGTTATTATTATTATTATTATTATTATACGTTATTACTAGTTCTCCATTATCGCTCAAAGTTATTTTTTTAATACCTTTCTTTTGGAAATACGATTTAATTCATTCAAAGTCATTTGTGTCGTTTTCTTGGTTACCATTTGGTAAAGGAGAATCTTTTATTAATTCTCAAATCTCGTCTCAATCTCTTTTTCCAGTTTCGAGGCTTTTCTTTCCTCTCAACATACAAATTCCTAAATTTCAATGCTGCCGACCAGATTGGTGCTTAACCACTCAACTATTACCACTATTTTCTTTATTAATTGGTTCCACAATTTTTCACTCCTGAGGATTTTTCTTAATTTCCTCAATCAGTTTTTTGATTAATTCACTTTTTACAGTAAAAAACTCTTCGCAACTACAATCAAACTCCTCTAAATTTATCTCCTCGCCGTCAATAACTATCCTCAAAAATCTGTTTTCTCACTCTGTGTAGTTCGATTTACGTAACTTTCAATAATCACTTTCAGCACCGTCATTTTTTAAATATTCGGCATTCTCTAAATAAGCGCTGGGACCAATACATATTTTATCCAAGTTTCGCAATAATTTTTCTTTTATTCGAGTATTACTTTCGCTTGATTGCTCTTTGCCAGCAAAATATTTTTTCGCACATTCGGGATGAAAATAACCTAGAATATTAGGACGTGGTTCGCCAGTAATTTTTTCTCCATCCCATAATTTCATTTGACCATTCTCTTTAGAGGATAATTTACCGCAAACCGCACAATTCTTTGGTTTTACTTCTTGGCTGATATCTTTCCCTAAACTTTCTGAAAAAAGTATAGAATCTCAATCACCATATTTAGTAGTATCTTTGTTCGTTCGATAAGTAAACCAATTTCCTCCCCCATCTTCCTTTTGATAATCTAAATAATCATTAAAAGCAAGCGGAAAATTAAATTTCTCCCGAAGATATTTTTTCAAACGGGATGAAATAATTCTAACTCATTTTGATCCACGCTTGTGCGCCTCATTTCCAGTAACGAATTTATAATCAACCCCCTCCTGATATTCATTTTTAATTTGCTGAATTAATTCTTGAATTTCTTCAATTACATTATTTTTTTTTGCCATAATTGTTATAATTATATTATAATTTTATGTTTATATTGATGCTTCTCTTTCTTTTTCCTTCTTGATTACTAAAAATTTTTTAGTTTTGGAATACGGACGACTGCTTTTAATTACTACTTTATCACCTAATTGTAAATTATGTTCCTCATTATGGGCTTGGATTTTTTTCCTTCTTTTAATGGGCTTATGATATTTAGGGTGTAATTTGGTAGAAACTAATTCTATCGTGGCTGTTTTAGCACTTTTCAGGCCTATCACTGTTCCCGTAAATGTTTGACTCATATATTATTTATTTTTTGTTTTCTTTCTCTACCAGCGGACGGCTTTTAGTAAGGAGACGTGCAATTTCTTTTTTTAACTCCTTTATTTGGTGAGTTTGCACTAATTGCCCCGTTTTGCTTTTCATTTGGAGAACCATTAATGCGGAACGATATTGAACTAATAATTCTTCTTTTGATAACTTTTTTTTTACTTTTTCAGTTTTTACTTCCTTATCCATTTCTTTCGACAATTTTATATTTGGCTTTGGCTTCGCCATTGTTTTTAGGTAGTTTATAACTGACTTGTTTCAAAACTTTATAGGCAATATCTTTTGGTAGACCTTGCACTTCGAAAACTATTGTGCCGGCTTTGACTACTGCTACTCAACTTTCTACTGAGCCTTTACCCGAGCCCATTCTTACTTCTAAGGGCTTTTTAGTCTTTCCTAAGTGGGGGAAAACTCTAATTCACATTTTGCCACCTTTTTTGACAAAAGGGCTAATGACTTTTCGTCCAGCTTCGATTGCCCGATTACTGATATAAGTACCCTCTTGGGCTTGTAAGCCATAATCTCCATAATTGACCTTACTATTTCCTTTCACATGACCCTCATACTTTACGATATGAGAATAACGGTATTTAGTTTTTTTCGGTATTAACATAATTTTTATTT